TGTCTGCTGTGAGTACAGGGTAGAATAAAAGGAAGAGAATACTGAGTTCCAGTGTGGAAAGACATGGTTAATATGTTCACATGCTTGGACATTCTATTGCAAGCAGAAGGAAGGAAACAGTTTTTTGAGTGGAGAAGACTCATGATTGAATCAAAGTTTTCCAATAATGGGTAGATTTCAGAAAAGACGTAGGGGTTTAAATCTGAGGAGTGACAGTGGGAATGAACAGAATGGGGGATATTGGTGATCCAAGGCATTTTGAAGGTGGAATAAGAAACTTGGTAATTACATATGATGAATGAGGGAAAAGAGTCAAGAATACTGCTAAAGTTTCTAACATGTCCTGCAGAGTAGATGGAGATACTGTTATCTAATGCGGAGAATCCAAGAGAAGGGTGAAGCCAGAAAAGGGGGTATCATAAAACGATCTTGTGTCACAAGAGCTACATGGTGGTAACCAAGAATTTTTAAGAGAGTAGTGGAATGATCTCTTCTAGATAAATTTTTCTCCAAAGCTTAATCAGCAATCATTAGAATGTTTTTAATATCAGATGAGGTTTATATGGAGATATACATGAAGTTTTGAAAAGGTCCAGAAGTGGTAATAGGATCAGGATGGTGGAGTGAAAAAGCCATTAGATTATAAATCAGAAGTCACAGATTACATTAGCTACCTGGGTGACTACTGATAAACGACTTGACTGTTTAGCTCTTCATTTCATACTTTGTAAAACGCAGGGCAACAGTGTTTCTCTTCCTCCCAATGTGTGTGAGGGTCAAGTGAGATCATGCATTTTTAGGCATAGTGAAAAATGCAAAGTGCAGCATGAGTGATTTGGGTAGCATTTTAATATGTCATTGGTGAGTTTGATAATTAAAAATTCTCGATTTGAAAATAATATCCTAAAACATATTCAAGGAAAGGATTTAAATTCTAAAAGGTTTAGTTACAGTGGGGGTTTTCTTTATCTCTTCTTTTTTACTTTTCAATTCCTGAATACAACAAATCTTGCCCTTGCCCAAATATTAAATCTATGAGGCTATAAATGTAACATTACACATGGTATGCATTATAAAAACAAACCCTGAAACATTTGTCTGGGGCAAAATAAAAGAAACTGAAAAATTGAAGATGTGAAGCATTTTTACTTAATGCAAGCTGTTCCCATTATTTCTTTTCCTTTTAATAAAGTTCACACTTTGTTGCTCTCTTGAAAACCAATTCTTCCTAAAGCTTCTCTCTTCATCTTTAATATGACTCTTCTCTGAAGCTCTCATTTCTACCCAGGCAGCATTATTACATATCTTACAAAATCGAGCATTAGAGATTAATTACATGTGAAGTACATCTGATGGCTCTGGGGTTTCTTTGGGTAGCAGTGAAGGCTACCCACTGGTGTAATAAAAGCAGCGTAAATTTAATTAAAATGTAGCTATTTCATTGGGTCTACTATGCAAGTAGGGCCTCTGGTTTTCTGTAAAATAATAAAAAATGATCTATAAAAACTTACAAAGTTAAAGTGGAAGGGACAAAATACTCTGACGTGAGTGATAGGCTGCCAGAGTGGCCCAAGACACAGGATAGAGAATGCTAGCAGAGAAGATGAAGGCTCCCTATGTCCTCCCAATGCCTCCAGCCTCTTATCTGAGCACTTTGAGGCAGAGAAAAAACCAAGTTCACTTTTCTGCCCTCTCTTGGCTATTTACCCAGAAAACCCCAGGGGATTGTAAGCAACTACTAGGCTATACCATGGTGATTTATTGGCATTTTATTCTCCCAAATAGCTAAATGAGCCTTTCCACCCTTACTTCTCCCTGGTGCTACCCCAATATTCAATAAATTTGTATAGCAGAATGGTCAAGTTCTACATCAAAAGTCAGATCTGGGAATGCATCCACAGCTGATAAGCCTCATTGCATACCTCTTTGAGAAATAAGTCAGGGGCTTTTGATTGTTTGGAGAGGTAAGTTTCTGTGGAAGCCCCAGCAAGCTAGCTTGTCTCTCTTTTATTTTGGCTACTGGTAGTAAGTAGCCACAAGGTGAACTGAAATGGGAAAGCAGACATTCTACGAAGTGGGGTAGTTTTCCTTTGTTTTTACTACAGCTGTTGGCATATTTGTGGAAATGGTAAAGTCCTTAGAGTTATTCGCTGCAGTTCTTAATTCTCTATCTTTGGATATTTCATTTCTCAACTTTTTAATAATCTCAGTTACTCTCTGGGGATAATTTCTAAGTGATCTATTATATCTCGAAAATTGGACAAGTTATTTTTAGAACATCTTAGTTAACACTGAATCAAGAGCTTTGATTTAGTTTTAAGATGACATATTTAGACCACAGAAAGATTACAGATACAGTTTTCTCTAAATGACATTTTAAAAATTCACACTGAGAATCTCTTAGTGCAACTTCATGTTTGTAAACGGTTACAAAAAGGCAGATCTTTCTCTCCCCCCAAAACATCACATATGGAAAAAATTAATTATATTTTTCTATTTAAAATAAAAAGGTAAAAAATTTTCAGACAATATGGCACAGTAAAATCACAATTTGTAATACTTCCTCTGCACAAACACATCAATGATAGGTAAAATATAAAAATAGAAGACCAAAAAGCATAGCCAAGCTAAAACACACACACACACACAAAAGAAATAAAAAGTGAAAATTAAAATAAATGCAAAGTAGTGAAAGAGAGTCTGAACCCACAATTTTGCTGTCCTCCAAGTTAAGAAGCAGGTTGACAGTGAACACGGGTAACATTCTGCTACCTGGTAAACAAGACTGCTTAAACCAATGCTTTCTAGATTACAAAATAAGACTGAAAACAAGTTGCTAAATATTGCCAAAGGCTATGGCTTTTAACAAGTTGTAGGCTGGGAGTCAAATATGGACATATTCTTGCAACAAAGAAGTGGTCAAAGTAACCTAGCCGTGCACTGACTGGATCAATATTATCCCCAGCACTGTCAAGGGACAGCGGCCCGGGAAGGTCACTGTATGCTCTTGGTTTGGGATTCGGGACCTTAAGGCTGGATAAACACTATGCTAAAACATCTAAATCATACATAAAAGGAGAGAAAAAAGAAACAAGTGAAATTCCTATAACAAACCAGCCAAAACATGGAAGCAGCTAATGCTGTAACAAATATTGCCCTTATCTCCTTGCACTCACCACTTCAGTGCATGACATTGGTTTGACTTCTAACAACTGCCTTTCTTTGTCTTTGTTTTCCTATAGCCACTGAAGCATGCTTTGTCCACTGGTCTGGCATGCTAAAAGTGATGGAGAATTAATGCCCTTTGGAAGCAGCCTCACACTGACTAAAGGAAATTGGTGTATAAAGATTCCCTTGACCCTTGGGTGGGATAAGTCTGAGAGATCTGCTCTACAGAGGCTCCCAGAGTTTTCCTTGTGAGTTTCACCTCTAGTTACACACAAGAGTAACTGGCTTGGTGATCCATCTTTTACTGGCCGCTTTCCTTCCTTGTTTCCCTTCTCCATTCTCCTACTGGTGCTTTTGTTTCCTTCCAAATAAACTACCTGAACTTAGATTCTTTACCCAGGATCTGCTTAATAAAGAGCCCAATGTAATGCTGAGAAAGACAGACAAGAAAATCCGCAGATGGAACACACATTTTCTCAGGGAGAAATTAATGAGATGAAACAGTCTGACAAATCTTTAATATAAATGTATTTAGTGCCCAAATAAAAATGAAGAATAAGTTCTATTAAAGAAAAGCAAGCACTAATGGAAGAAAAATAGGCAGAAATGAAACAAGACCAAGAAGATATGAAACAAATCCAATTAGAAATCTTGGAAAGGACATACACAGTCTTTGAAATTCAAACACTCAAGAAAATGTAGTTTACTTGGTACTGGACAAAGTTGAAGAATAAGTCAGTGACATAAAAGAGGGATTGACCTGGAATATAGCATGCAAGATTTAAAAAAAAAAAAAAGTGAGAGTAGGGGATATAATGAAGCAATGGAAAATAGACTATGGGCTGTGCAGACCTACCTTTTATCATGTGATAGTTCCTAAAGAAGAGAATAGAGGAAATGGTGCAGAATAAATATTTGAAGACATCTGAACTTTTCAAGTATCCTAAGATCAAAAGTGGACTGAAGGTATCAAGGACAGCATATACAAAAATAGGAATGCAAACAAAAATAAATTTAGATACAGCTAAGTTAAACTATGAGACTACGTAAAAGAAATTATTTTAGAAGCTAATAGAAAAGATGAGTAACCCATACAAAAAAGTTATTTAGTCCAGCAGCAAACTTCTCATCAGAAATAATAGATGCCCGATGATAACGGAGAGATATCAAAATGCTGAGAGTGCTAAGTATCATGAAAGATAGTAAAAGATAAAAGTACCTGCAAAGTCCATGAGTGCGCAACAGTAACCAGAAACGGTATAGGCATAGTTTACAGCAAAAAATGTATAAGCCAAGAGTCATCAGTAAATGTTTTCTCCCCAAAGCCCGTTATTCCATAAATTGTCTGGTCTAAGAAGCACCATGAAGCAAGGTCCTGTCTCTTAACTTTTGCATATTTATTAGGAAGTTGGAGATAGGGAGTATGGCAAGAAATATCCAATCAACTCTGTAAAAATAGGCACTTCCTTCTTGGGAAAACTTTGTAAGAGAGGGTCATTTACATTTTATTCAGACCCTGTCGTCTTGCTCTCATGTGTCAGCTCTGCTAAGCTAACTCATTGCAAAGCAAGCACAAGGGGAAATGGAAAGAACCACTAAAGCCATACATGTAATCCATATTTGTGTCCCCTAAAAAAATGAAAAGATCTTTGAAAAATATAAAGACTAAGAAAGTTGCCATGACTCATATCCCCACTGCAGCACGTCAAGCCAAACACCTTGATTTACTCTCCTTCTGATATTCATTCATCTAAACATACTGATTAGCTTTTAAATGCATTGAAGCTGGTGAGAATCCTTAGAGGCCACAAGTAAGTACAATATGAACTCACAGAGGTAGGCAGAGCCCAGGAGCCAACCTTTACTCTGAGGGATTATTAACCCTGGGATATCGTGAGCTTCAGTTTCCATGTCCTTTTGGTTCCTGAAGAATAGGAAACAAAACGTGTCTCAGATGAAAAGTGTTATAGGAGACATCCCACACATATAGATCTGAGACCATGAAGTGCTACATTTTCAATGTAAAAGATAATAGGAAATAAATCGAACTGCTTTTACCCATCACCATGTGGAGACAAACCATTAAAAAGTTGGGAATGGATGCTAAGTGCTAACCTTTTAGCTACTCAGAAACCACGCTCAAATTTTTACCTTTATTTAACTTCCAAATGATAGTGGAAAGCAACATGCTGTCTATGTGATAAAACTAGATCTTGTATCATAGAAATCCCTTTAACCCTATTCTAAAAAAGGAGAGGTCCCAAGTCCCAAGTTGCTGGGTCCACCTTGGGGAATGTGTTTGCCTTTTCCAGTTTAGTAATTATTCCATCTTTGAATCCTTTATCTTACAAATTTATAGTTTAGTTTCTAAAAGCACTTCTATAAAACATTATGGGAGGAAAGGTTGATAATTTTTAAAAATTGACTAGTCTGCTCACAACACACATGCTCACAAATATATCTAGCAAAGCAAGGAAAAATGCATTTGGACTTGCAATTATTATGACACTAAAATTTTTTATTCCTTCTTCCATTACTCATTTCCCATTTCATTTTTCCTCTTTAAGGACTGTAGTTGTACGTGATTCTTTACCTACTGAGGTAACACAAACTTTTATTTCTCCTGAGTCGGAGCCCTTGGTAGTCTTGCCTGTATTGGGCCATTGCCGTTTTGATAACTTTTGTCACTTGATGGGATAGTATTGTGAGTAGCCACAGGGTATCCCCTGGGTTGCAGAAACACTCATTATGCCCCTGTTATGTTACAACCAACCTATTTTTCCCTTGATAATCATTATTAATCACATCAGCCATTACAGTGAGAAAAAAAATGACTAAAAATATGTGGTAAATATGTGGGTGAATCCAAATAAACATTGATTTTTAAAAAAATAATAATTTTCTTAGATTAAAAAAATACATGTAGAGAGAATTGTAATGCTGATAATAAACTGGGAAATGATAAATATAGATAAAGTGTTTTAAGGTTCCTGCATTATCTGGGAAATGGGTAAATTTTAACTTGTGCATTCTAAAATTGTAGAAAATGGATTTCATAAATCAGTTCCCTAAAGCTGAAGGGTTGAAAAAGTGGAATAATAAAAAATAATCCAAAAGAAAAGTGGGATAGTAAAAAATAATCCAAAAGAAGGCACAAAGAAAAAAAAAAGAGAAATGCAATAGAAAACCCAAATGAATGAAAACTATTATAATTACTATAAAATGTGATGACATTTAATTTAGTTAAATTCATTAATTTTCAAACTGGACTAAAAATAATAAAAAGCTATATATTATTTACCAAAAATAAATCTAAAATATACAGATATAAATGTTTAATATGAAAGCATCAAAAAATACAGAAGGCATATAATAATCCAGAGAAAGCTTTTGTAACTATGCTAGTCAGACAAAATAGCTTTTAAGGCAAAAGCAGTATAAATGATAAAAGTTGAATTTAGCAGAAATATATAACAATTTAAACTTTATGAATGGAGTAACAAAAAGAAAAATAGTAATGCAAAATTTGACAGAACTGTAGAGAGAATATGGTAAATCTACCATCAGAGTAATATATTTTTAACATACATTTCTCAGTAATTAGCAGATAAAGTAGATCAAAAAAAATCAGATATAAATATAGAAGATTTGAACAAACCAAATTTGATTTAATACATGTATAAAGAATTTTTCATCACTCCAGTAGCAAGTAACTATTCCTTCCAAGCACATGTAAAACATTTATAAAATGATCACAAATACAGACATAAAGAAAGGCTTAACATATTTATTTGACTATACACAAGAAAGTTGAAACACATAAGACAATGTTACTAATGAAACAAAATCCAACCAAATCCACACCAAACATTTGGAAATTAACAAGCATATTTCTCAGTACTTCATATGTTAAAAAGATATCACAGTGGAAGTTAAAAACCTCTAGAACTGAATGATACTATTGTCTCAGGACCTTAGGGTGTTGCTTTTCCAGCTGGAACCCTTAGTGGCTGGTGAGGCCTTTGCCTGAGTTTTGTTTGGGCCTGCTGGGCTCATTACACCCACCCAGCCTGGCAGGCTGTGCTTGCCTTGTGCTATCTGCCCAGATCCCATGCCTGCCAAGCACGATCAAGGCATGGAACAGCAAGGGGTGTGTGAGCGAGTGAGCACAAGGTCTAGCCACTGTGCACAGCCAGGTACGCCAGCTATTGCACTGGGTCAGGCAGCTCCAAGGGCCAGCACAGGTGCTGGTTCCATGCAAGCCTGTGGCTGGATAAGATGCATCGCAAGTAGCTTCTGCTGTGGATACTCTTGTCTAGAAGAGGGGAACACTGTGGTGCCCAGAAGCTTGGAGATACCATTAACTGCAGAGCCCCAAAGAGGATGTCACAGCCTTGGCTCAGGGAGTCCCTAGGTCTGGGCTCCCTGAAGGGCCACAGCTCTTTTCTCCTTCTCTTTGCCTGTAATGGTGTAAGGGTTGAGAAGGTGTTTAGCCCTGTTTGCGTTACAGCTCCTTCAGTCCAACCATTTGGCTGGCACCGAGTTCTTGTCCCACATCCAGGAAGAACGAGGTACAACTGGAGGATGAGCAAGGCAGACAGGAGCTCTACTGAGTGACAGAATAGCTCTCGGAGACTGAAGTGGGTAGCTTCTTTCTGCAGGCAGGTCGTCCTGATTAGTGTTCGGCTCTCAGTGAAGAGGAGACCAGGAGTGGGTAGCACCTTTCTGCAGCTAGTAGTCCCCACGTCTGTGTGAGTCTGACTGGGTCTGGGGCTTTTTATGGGCTCAGCAGAGAGGAAGTGCATGCTGACTGGTCCATGGGTGGCCATGGGCCTGCCCAGAAAAGGTAACATAAGTCATCACTCCAGGCTGCAGACTCTACCCAGATGACAGCCTGGCCCCAGGCTTCAGACCATCCCTGGCTTGAAGGTGGGGTTTCACCCCCAACCTGCCCCTTTCCACTCAGAAGCCTGTCTGCCTCCTGCTGCCATTGACATGTTGTCCATGGGACCCAGGCTCTTTGTGCTAAAGGGCAACTGCAGGCCCGCTCCAAGCCACCCTCAGCCCCACCTTGGACTTCCTCCTGTGCTCATCTGTGCCCAAAATCTGGAGGGTGCTGAGGAGGCAGGGGGCTGGCGTGTCAGTGCCACTCTGAGCATGCACCCAGCTGGGTTGTGACAGCACCCAGGCTTGGCCACAACTTTGCTTTGCTCTGGAGCAGGCACTGGGAGTTGGGAGAAGCCAGGCAATGGGAGCAGGCACTTTCAAGCCTGCAGGGGCAAGAGGTTTCCTGGGCACCCAAGAGTGCATTTTCCAAAGCTCATTTTCTCCTAATGCTAAGTTGCCAAATATTAACGTAAGTATTCAGTCAAAGCCAGATAAAATTGTCACAGAATGAATTTTGGGATACAACATTAAACATAAAATTTATTTGAAATATTTGTTTAAAATAGCAATTATATTTTTAAAAATTTTGGCAAGTTATATAAATTTGACATTATGTTGCAAGAACAGTAATCTTTCAGTATCAACTGCTGTGTTTCTCCTGTAGCTATGTAATGTATAGTTGTAATACCAAATATACTCCTTTCGCCTGGTATATTTAAAAATGTCACTAACCTCTTTATGTCTGGGGTAGCTGAATATAATAAAAGAAAAAGGTTTTCATAAAATATTTTCTATTAGAAAATTTGTATTTGGGACTCAAACTTGGATAAATCTTAAAAAAAAAAAAGACCCTTGTATTTTTAGCAAATAAAATTAGTTTTGAGTCCCTAGCCATTACATTCACAAGTATTGTTTACATTTTTAGCTTTCATAAACTAAAAGCTATATGAATTATTTTAAGTGTTATTGTAAGTGCATTTTAAAGGTCTGATTAGCAAGAAGAAAATGTCTCTAGCACATTATTTTCTTCGTCATATGCCCTATACATTTAACTACCGAAGCTATGCAAAGTTCTTGGCCTTCCAAGAAGATTTGTGTCTATTTCTATAACTATCTCTAATATTTTTCCCACCAGCCTGATGGAATCCCAACATTCACAGGTAGTGATTGCTAGCATATAAGTCTCAAAGTAATCAATGTACGATTGATTAGCATTTAAAATTGTCTATAGTACATTTCCTAAATACTAAATATTTTTCTGTACACAAGTTGTAAAGAATTAAAAATGAAATATACAAAACAGTATTTATAGTAGCATAACAATGTAAATTACTTAAGAATGAATATACAAGCAAATTTAAGCTCCCTATGGAGAAAAATATAAACTTTATTGAAAGAAGGTATAAAAATGAAGAGAGACATCGTGTTCTGAGATCACAACACTCAATATTGTGAAGATGTCGATTCTCTCCAAATTGATCTATGGATTCAATTTAATCCCAATCAAAATGCCAACGGGGGGGAGGGGTGTGTGTGTGCACGCGCACACACGTGTGTGTGTGAAAGAGAGAACACCGAGAGAGAACGCAAGAGAAAAAGACTTGGAGATACTTAAAAACTGATCTAAAGTTTATGGGGAAGAGTAAAGGAACAAAAATAGTACATTCCTCCTGAAGAAAAAGACTTGCTAGAGGAAGTGGTCTTAGCAGATATCCAATCTCAGACTAAGATTGTACTCTTTAAACAATGTACTACTTATTCAGGGACATATCAATTTAACAGAGTAGAAAATCTTAAAATGAAATAGAGAAGTAATCATTTCATTTATGGTTCAGTTAGTATTGCAGGTAAGTGGGGGGGACATACAGACTTTTGAATAAATGGCATTGAGACAATTGGTTATCCATATTGAAAAAAAGAAATTTGATCCCCATATGATCAGATAGCTGAAAGTCAACACCAGGTGAATTAAACGTTAACTTTTGAAGGCAAAACTATATAAATTTTAGAGGACAATAAAGGAGAATATATTTCTGT